AAAAGCAAAAATAAACAAATGGGACCTAATGAAACTTAAAAGCTTTTGCACAACAAAGGAAACTATAAGCAAGGTGAAAAGACAGCCCTCAGATTGGGAGAAAATAATAGCATACGAAGCAACAGACAAAGGATTAATCTCAAAAATATACAAGCAACTCCTCCAGCTCAACTCCAGAAAAATAAATGACCCAATCAAAAAATGGGCCAAAAAAAAAAAAAAAAACAAAGACATGGGCAGTGCTTAGGAAACCAGACAGAGAATTCTAGCACCCAGGGACAGCAATAGCAGGAAAATCCTATGGACAGAGGAGGCTTGTGGCTATAGTCCATCAGGTCACAAAGAGGCAGACATGATAAGCACGGAAGCATTACCTTGGCTGGGCTCAGACTGATAGCAGATGAGGATGGTTCCAGGAGTACTAGAGGATGGCTCTCTGGGAAAGGAGTCTGAATGGCCTTTCCTGCAGGACTCAGCCAGCCCCAGGGTAACTGGGCAGGGAGGTGGCCTGTGTTAAGCACCCTGATTGCCCCTCCTTCCAGCCTCACATCTCCTGCAGGTGTTTCCTGTTGGTAAAATGCCATCCATCAGACACTCCAGGGCAAGAGACCTTGTAAATCCTAATCCGAATCTGTGCTTTCTACACAGAGTTCGTGGAGAAGGCTTGGACAAACAGAAGGGATTTAGCTTGGAAACCATGTAAGATATTTAAGAGGAAAGTGTCAACTTGGGATAGTTGTGCAGAGTAGATTGCAAAGCTTTGAAATGGGAGGCAAGAACACTAGCTAACATGGTGGGAGAAGAGGCGTATGCTGAGGATCAATTCTGAGTAAATATTCTTATCCTTTATTGAGTATGCAATATCTATCTCAGTGAATGTAGACAATTTTCCTGTAGCCTCTTGGCTATATTTGCTCAGTCGTGTCCAACTCTTTGCGACCCTGTGGAGTGTAGCCCACCAGGCTCCTCTGTCCATGGGATTCTCCAGGCAAGAATACTGCAGTGGGTTGCCATTTCCTTCTCCAGTATATTTTATACAGCCAGCCAAGTCCATTCTAATAGATTGTCCCATTTATATTTAGATAGATTTATATGTTCAGTCTAATAATCACATGCTAATGTTCCACATACTAAAGCTGGCCATCCCCACACTGCTCCCTTCCCACTTTGAAAATTCCTAATCCTGCTTCCGTGAGAAGCACATGGGCATAAATATACAGACACACACATACACACACACACACACAGACACACAAACAGAGGACAAAGACTCTCTCCTTTGATCAAATTTTAATCAAGCTCCTATGATTCCTCTGCTTGCCTAAGCCAAACTTGGACTTCCCTCTTTGTCGTGGTAGACTCTAGACTGAGCAAGAATCCTGCTAAGTCAGTTTGGCAAAAATCCCCCACTCTTGGTATCTGACTAGCCTCACTATCTTATCACTCTGCCCCACGTTCAGCAAGAATTCTGATGAGTCAGTCTAGCAAGAATGCGCCTTGATATTTCCTCTTAATAATTTTCCATCCACTACTCACAACCCAGTCCCATAGGAGCAAATCCCCACTGCACCTTGTTAGAGCTGAATTCCATCTCTCTACTTTACTACAAAAACCCTATTTTAGAAGCTGTCCTTGAATAAAGTCTGCCTGATAGTCTTTAACAAATGTCATGAATAATTTTTTTTTCTCTAACACACAGAGCATGAAGTTTTTAAGAGTAAAGAAATTGTTCAGAAATAGAGAAACAGATGAGAATTTTAAAGGTTGAAGGAAGCCAAACAGAGCAGACCCATCACTGGACGTGAAGTGTATGTACTACTGAAGGGGGTGCAAGTCTGTTTTAATGTCCTCATCTGCGAAGAGAGTGGCATAATAGGATCATGTCCATGGTCTTGCGAGACTCTCAGGAAGAAGGATCCTGGCCTTGCCCTCACAACCTAATATGGCTCTTTCTGGACAGAGCCTAAAATGTTCGCTTCAAGACCAGCAGTCAGATTGGGTTAATAAATGCTCTTTGGTAAACATAAAAACAGTCATTGGCTACCAATTATACATTTATTATGCACATCTGCTTTTCTACCAAGAAGTTGTTGTTGTTCTTCAGCTGCTAAGTTGTGTCCAACTCTTTGCGACCCCATGGACTGCAGCACACCAGGCTCCTCTGGCCTCCACTATCTCCCAGAGTTTGCTCAAATTCACGTCCATTGCATCGTTGATGCTATCTAACCATCTCATCCCCTGCCAACCCTTCTCCTTCTGCCCCCTCAATCTTTCCCAGCATCAGGGTCTTTCCTAATGAGTGCAGTGAGTCAGCTCTTCCCCTCAGGTAGCCAAAGTATTGGAGCTTCAGCTTCAGCACCAGTCCTTCTGATGAATATTCAGGACTGATTTCTTTCAGGATGGACTGGTTTGATCTCCTTGCAGTCCAAGGGACTCTCAAGAGTCTTCTCCAACACCACAGTTCAAAAGCATCAATTCTTCAGCATTCAGCTTTCTTTATGATCCAACTCTCACATCCATACATGACTACTGGAAAAACCATAGCTTTGACTATACAGATTTTTGTCAGCAAAGTGATGTCTCTGCTTTTTAATACGCTATCTAGGTTCGTCATAGCTTTCCTTCAAAGAGCAATTGTCTTAATTTCATGGTGCATGTAACAAGTACAGGGAATAAAGACTGTAATGAATGAAGTAGTCCTTACTGAATATTATGCTTCAAGACACAAGTTGAACCTATAGATTTGAATTATATTATTAAATTATTCTTGTATCTAGAATTATTGAAATTTAATAAAATAATATTTGCAGTGACCTGGGGATGTAATGTACATGCTTCAGGTCGAAATAATAATAATCTCACTTTCAATACTCTGTTCACTTGTAATGGCCTTTTTCTTAATGTGCTTCAGGAAACAGATTTGCACTTTCTGAATGGGAGCTAAATATTTTTCCTGACACTATGTATTTAAGAGCTTTTTGAAACCATGGATAAAAGAAGCCATGAATGAGAGGATTGCAAGTGGAATTGAAGTACCCAAGCCACACTAAAAGATCAAGTACTATCATGGGAGTGGAGTAGCCTAAATATGGGTCAATCAAAACAGCAAGAAAACAAGGCAGCCAGCAAGCTAGAAACACTCCCATTACTATGCCCAGGGTCTTGGCTGCTTTGCGATCCTTTTTCTTGGATAAGTTTTTTCTCACGTCCCCCTTTGTGTTTTCAGGCATGTTGTCTATAACTCTAGCATGTCGTTTGGAAACAATAAAGATTTTGCCATAAATACCAACCATAATGGAGCCAGGAGTAAAAAAGCATGTAGTGAATAATATCGTCCCCCAAAATTTGTTGAAAGCAAGTGCACAGAAATTGAAGCAAGCAATGAGAATCTCATAGTTCTGCATACCAGAAACATTGGCCTTGGATAGAACTAAACCAAAAGAAAAAAGAGCAGGGGCTGACCAGCAAAAAGCCAGCAGCCACTTTATCATGGAGATGGTCATTGTGGTTGTGTAGTGTAGAGGGTAACACACAGCATAAAATCTGTCAATAGCAATGGAGCAGAGGTGGAAAATGGAGGCCAGACTTAGCATCATGTCAAAGCTTGTGTGGAATTTACAAAAGCCATCCCCAAAATACCAGCAGCTCTCTACTGATCGCACCATGCTATACGGCATAACGACCAAACCCAGCAGAAAGTCTGTGGTTGCCATGGAGAGAATCAGAAAGTTTGTGGGAGAGTGAAGCTGCTTGAAATGTGATATGGAAATGATTATGACCAAGTTTCCAAAGATAGTGATGAACATGGCTCCGATCATAATTGATGAGAATCTCATAGTTCTGCATACCAGAAACATTGGCCTTGGATAGAACTAAACCAAAAGAAAAAAGAGCAGGGGCTGACCAGCAAAAAGCCAGCAGCCACTTTGTCATGGAGATGGTCATTGTGGTTGTGTAGTGTAGAGGGTAACACACAGCATAAAATCTGTCAATAGCAATGGAGCAGAGGTGGAAAATGGAGGCCAGACTTAGCATCATGTCAAAGCTTGTGTGGAATTTACAAAAGCCATCCCCAAAATACCAGCAGCTCTCTACTGATCGCACCATGCTATACGGCATAACGACCAAACCCAGCAGAAAGTCTGTGGTTGCCATGGAGAGAATCAGAAAGTTTGTGGGAGAGTGAAGCTGCTTGAAATGTGATATGGAAATGATTATGACCAAGTTTCCAAAGATAGTGATGAACATGGCTCCGATCATAATTGAGTACATTATTACTCGAATATGAAAATGGCGGTTGGTGGGAGGACAGGACTTATTTCCAAATTTTGGACAACTGGATAAATCTTCAGGAATGTGAGTTAGATCCATGGTGCTTGATCTCTTTAAGCTCCTTTTTTGGAAGGTAAGTCAATGTTTCTTCTCCTCTTAAAATGATTCCAGGAAATTTCAGCCCTGAAAGTACAATGAAGTCACCTGTCATTAATTCAATTATAATATATTTAAATATTTAAAATTATATCAGTGGTGCTTACTTTCTGAGTTGTTTGCTGCTCGCTCTTTCCTGTTCTAGTCAATTTTCTTCTATTTCGTCCTTCTCTTTATTCATTCAAGGTGGGCTTATCTATTGGCTGTTTTATTCCCCATAATATATCAGAAGCTTTTTAAAGATTTACTCCACTTACATGAGACATCTAAAATAGTCAGATTCATGAAGTAGATAATACAGCATTAGTTACTGGGAGAATTGGGTAGTGGTTGTTCAATGTGTTTAAAGTTTCAGTTATGCTAGATGACTAAGGTCTAGAAGTCTGCAAGACGTAATGCCTATAATTAATAAGATGAAATTGTGCACTTGAAAATTCACTAAGATGGTGTATCTCATGGTAAGTGTACTGCAAAGAAACAAGCAAATCAGAGAAACACAAGAAAACCTTGGGACATGTTGGATATGCCCAGTACCTTGATTATGGTGATGGTGTCACAGGTATTTGTGTATGTTCAAACTCATCAAATTCTGTAGTTCTCAGCATATTAATTATACTGCAATGAAGCTGTTTTTTTAGAAAAAAGGGTCAACTTTCACCTTAAACAGTCACTTCCCTGGAAACTCCTTTGAATTGCAATATAAAAATACTTAATCCACAAAAGCCAAGTGAAATCGCAATGTTTTTGCTTCTGCATTCTTTCAATAATTTGAAATCTTTTGTAAAAAGTCTACAGATGTTTCAAGAGTTGTAAATGGCATGTGGCTACTGAAGTGCACAGACCAGGCACCTCCGATGGGTTAAACCATAGCTTCTATAGTCTGCTCCCTTCCTCTCCTCCGCTATCTTCTACTCTTCATTTCCCTTCCTTGTCTTCCCTGAGTCTTCTTCCTTATCTGAGATTCTAACTCGTGCAGCCGTGTCACATCCTGCATCTCCGACTGACTCAGTACAGTCACAGATTTCCCACTCACAGACTTTGGCCAATCAAATCTCACATGACTCATATTGATCATAGGAATGCCTTACTCTTCTACTGGGAGGCAAAGAACTAGTCTATCTTGTTTTCCCTGAAATCTTGGTACTTAGGTTAATGCTTGTAGCAGGCACTAGATGCATATTTATGAATGAATAAGTATACACATAAATGTCAAATTATGGCTGTTTTAAAATACTTGCACTGTTCCAATAAAAGCAACTGTTTCAATACACTTATAACTTTGCTGGAAGAATCGAATAATTTCAGGACCTCAGTTCATGAAAGTATCTTTCTATATTAAATTGCTTCTGATACTGCTATAAAAGAATCACTCCCAGAGTAGCGTTTAGAAAGGCAGACCTGAGAGATTTTCTCTAAACATATTTTACTGATCCTTTAGGCTAGTGAGATAAGACCTAAGGATTTTGAGTCCAGATATGGATATGAAGGTATTAGTAAAAGGAAAACAAACAAACAAATAAAAAATGCTGCAGGACTTTCAGCTAAGTGCCTTTGGGAGATGGTGGCAGGGGTGGCATAAGAACCCACTCAGTGGTCCATGACCCTGTTAAGATGGAGTGATATGTGTGCTCAATCATATCCAACTCTTGGCAACCCTATGGACTGTAGCCCACCAGGCTACTCTGTCCATGTGATTTTCCAGGCAAGAATACTGGAGTGAGTTGCCATTTCCTGCTCCAGGGGATCATCCCGACCTGGGGATTGAACTTACATCTCCTGTGTCTTCTGCATTGCTGGTGGATTCCTTACCCGCTAAGTCATCAGGGAAGTCAGGGTGGGGTTCTGCTGGCTTTAACGTCCCTTATGCATTGTTTGGTGCCTTACCTTTGCAGAGTTGGAAGTGTTCTTCCTGCTGACTCACATACTCTGAAAAATTAAAGAAAATACTATGTTGGAGACTTACAACTTACAACTACACTTACATACTTCTAAGTTCATGAACATGAAGGCAAAGTACACTGTTATACAAATTTAGTTTTTCCTCCTTTTTATCTGTTGAAAAAAATCAGATGGATTAGCAAAGGAAAATAAACATTAGTGTTGTTAGTTCTTTAATATACTAACTCAAATTAAATGTTTTAATTTTTTATTTGTTTGATAAGGTTGATAAAAAATGTGCTTTCACTTTCTCCTTTAACTTTTGATTGTTCCATGCTTCCTGGCATCTAAGGCTGATGCCTAAAGTATTTCAGCTGTTAGAAAACTGCTTAAGAGAACTATGTAAAGTTTCAAATCCACTTCTCAAAATGTAGACTTTTCTGAATGTCTCTGCTTATGTCTTTCAGTTAGGAGAAAGAGACTTTTTACTGAAAGTAGGACCAACTTAAAGACCTGGAACTTACACCAATAATAACTGTTTCATTTCTCTCTCCATTGGTCAGAAAGTTATTTCAATGTTTATAGTGTCTATTTTAAAAAAATGATCTTAAACTCCAAGTCTCAAATATAAATTCTATTTTTTAAAGCTCCAAAATCATTCTAAATTATTTTAAATAAATAATTCATCTAAATAATAAATCATTCTAAATTAGCCTAAAAAGCAGATGCCATTCAAACAACAGATTTCTGTTAATTTTTTAATTAAATAAAGATAAAAGTATGATTTTATGAGTAATTTCAAAATTTGAACTAGTATCTATAGTGCAACAGTGTAAATGGTATATGTAGTATAACAGGAAAGATAAGCAAAGGTTTGAAATTTATGAAAATCCATGATGTTGGATATTTTCTGTAAGTTCTCTAATGTCTTACATAGACTGTAATGAATATTTGAAGACTACAATAACAGAAACTGCTTGGAAGCCATTCCAAGGATGACAATAAGTAGACTGCATTCAAATGCTGTGCTGAAAAGTAAGATTAAGAGAAGAAAAAAAAACTTTTTTCTGTGACTGATTTCTATGACAAATGATTAATTTATTCTAAATAAATGGAATCACAGTCTGTCAGCAAGCTTCATAAAACCATATGGCAGTTGGCAATGGGCAGAGACAACCCCTTGAAAACAGTCTTCTTAAAAACATCTGGGAGCAGGAGAAACATTTTAACTGATAGTAAATACATACCAGAAATAGGCAGAGAGAACTCCATGTCAGAGAGCGGGGAGAGAAAGGAGAGTGAAAATTAAAACCATAGTAAATATCTTTCTCATAAATAGCCATAAACTACAGCATTATTGAAAAGCAGAAGAGAAAAATCTTTACTACAACTATCAAAGAAGTATGAGGTCCAACGGAAATTGATCTAAATTAATGTTTTATAAAATATATGTGTACTTTTTTTGGTGGATACCTGGAAACTGTCTGGAAAAACATGCCTTGGCTAGAACATCAGAGCACTAGTTTGCCTGTGATAAATGATAAATCTTTTCAGCATCTGTTGGCATGGAAACCCCGGTTATAATCCTTCCTTCAATCTACAATACCCCAGCAACCTTTGGTCATGTAGCCTCTATGTTCCCTGCAAACACCTGCGGTTTGGCCAATCCCCTTTTCTCCAGCTGGCCCTTCATCTCTTGAAAATCTCAAGGCTCAGCTCAAATATCATTTCGTTCTAGAAACCTTTTTTCACTCTCCCAGTTGGACTATTGGGATGACTAAAGTTCTTAGAGTTACGTTGTCTTCCTTGTTTTACAGCAGACTTTGATTTCAAGTGCCTTTTATTTCCTTTCCCTAGCACAACACTGAAAAAATATGCCTTATGCTAATTTACAATTCAAATTTTTGAGAAATTTACACTGAATGAGATAAAATGCCCTTAACCGTCTAAGGCTGGCAACACTTAGTACAGAACCGTGTTCATCTCAGGCAAGCAGTAATGGCTTGCTGAATTAAATGGAAAGAAATCAATTCCAACACATTAAGAAACCTGCAGAATAGGCACTTTGTCTCATGGTATTAGAGACCTTTGGTTTGAGAAAGATTAAATCACTAGCGAAACAATAAATTTTGTTTATTTAAATATTAAAAAAAAATTTTATGATGTTGTATTGGTTTCTGCCATACAACAGCTCAGATCAGCCATAATTATCCATGCATCCCCTTCCTCACTAACCTCCCTCCCCTCCCCTCGTCCCATCCCTCCAGGTCATCATGGAGCCGCGGGCTGGGCTCCAGGTGCTACCCAGGATCTTCCCACCAGCTCTCCATCCTACACCCCATAGTGTGTATATGCTGATACTGCTTTCTCCATTCTTCCATTCTCTCCCTCCCGCACCGTGTCCGCAGGTCCAATCTCTACATCTGCATCTCCAGTCCTTCCCAGCAAATAGGTTCATCAATATAATTTTTCTAGGTTTCATATATATGCGTTAATACACTGCATTTGTTTTTCTCTTTCTGACTTACTTCATCCACCTCACTAGAGCTTACTCAAATTTGTTATTTTTTACAGCTTATTTAGAAAGTACCTAATAAATCTTCTCCCTAGACATACTGAACTGAACTGAACATACAATATTCCAAATGAAACCCAGTCAACAAAAATTCTGGATATTTTAAAGTTTTTGAATTACTTGAAAGGCACATTTCTACTGCCTTTTCCCATCTTTTTCATGTATAGAATATAACTAAGGTCTTGAGAGAGAGTTGCTACTAAATGCTGTAACTAACATTACAACCCAGGTCTTTTGGTTGCTGCTGCAATAAGCTTCCCATGATTGCTTACTATCTAAGAATGGGAAATAATAATAATATCAATAAGAAAGTCTCTGGCTTCATCTATTCATATTTCTTTCATACAGTCCTTGCTTATTAAATTATGGCTCATAATCAGCTATGGATGACATCATCTCCTGGGAACATTCTTGGAAATGAAAAATCTCAAACCCCTCCCCAAATGCACTTTTGGCAGGATATTTATGTTATTTACATGACCATTGGATTCTGGAAGAATTGTTCTAGACAGGAAAGAAACTGTATTTTTAGTTTGAATATGAAATGAATGGATAATCTTGAGGAATAAAGAGTGACAGACTAACTTAAGTAAATGTTGCTTGCAAGAGAAAAAGTATCAAAAGTGAAATGTATAGTGTCTGGCAGTGAATTAAATAGTATATACCAAGAATTTTTTTATTTAGATATATTATCAAAGAGGAGAGTGCATTTTAACATTATTAAAATACATATGTAACATATTTACTATAAATTATGTCTTACATGGTTCCTGTTATCTGCAAAAACATTTTAAAAATGCCACTACATAGAGACTTTAAACCTTGCTATTTTGATGGAAAATTTAAGGCATTTTTTAATAATAATTATTTTGCAGCTAGAAAAAAAATCGTGCCTTTTTTCTTGTATGCTATTATTAACAATTTTTGGTTCTTTATAAAATTTAACTACTGTTATTCAGTTATTTTGGAGAAGAGAATAAATCAGGTTTTAAAAAATCAGGATAGTACATTTCTAATTCTTTTTATTGACTCAGTACCTTGTCTCTCTTGATAAGTTAGTTGTGAATCATTGTGTCTCTTCTGCTGGCTTTGCAGGCATCGGGTCAGGATTGTAGAGAGTGTAGTGTCAAGGACTGAGAAATCTTTGCTCACCAGGTCAGGATTGTAGGGAGTGCAGTGTCAAGGACTGAGATATCTGACTCATAGAAGTTGACCTTTCCCTCCAGAGGACTGCAGTGAAGAACACAGATTCAGGAGTTCCTAGAGGGGAACTAAGCTCACAGTCCTGGTGGAATTGCTCTTTTAACTCTCTTTCCTGAGGGATGTTGACCTATTCTGTCTGTTTTTAATATCCCAGATATTTTTCAGTGCTTTTTTTTCTCCAAATAAAAGATGACAATTTCACATCAATTTCATGGTCATTTGGGCTTCATTCTGGTAAAATGGGGTAGCAAAATTTCTGTATCTTAAAAACATATAGACTTACATAGCTAAATTAAGTGTTGGCTAATATCCAAAGTGGAAATAATTATCCGAATCATAAAAGGCCTCAGTTTACACTTTGATTCCTGGATGAAATAAGAAGATATTGGGATGGGAGAAAAGTATTTATTTTTGCTTCAGTGATTTGCACCAGTTTAATAGAAGCCTTAGTTAAAAAGGCAAAAGTAGACAATCCCATTAAATCTTGATGAAAACTGGTGTAGTAAATCAGGAACACTGAACAAGAAGTCCAGAAAGCTAAGTTCTAGTTCTGCTTCTACAGAAAATTGTATCAGTTCAGTCCCATTCAGCTGCTCAGTCATGTCCGACTCTTTGCAACCCCATGGACTGCAGCATGCCAGGCTTCCCTCTCCATCACCAACTCCCAGAGCCTGCTCAAACCCATGTTCATCGTGTCGGTGATACCATTCAAACATCTCATTCTCTGTTGTCCCCTTCTCCTCCTGCCTTCAATCTTTCCCAGAATCAGTCTTTTCCAATGAGTCAGTTCTTCGCATCAGGTGGCCAAAGTATTGGAGTTTCAGCTTCGATGCAATAGAAAACTGTATAGTCTACGGCCATACCACCCTGAACGTGCCCGATCTCGTCTGATTTCGGAAGCTAAGCAGGGTGGGCCTGGTTAGTACTTGGATGGGAAAACTGTATAATCTGGGGCAAATCATTCAATCTCCCTGGGTTCAGCTTTCTCATCTATAGCGGCCTATAAAATTCTGAGTGTGAGGGGAAACAGTACTGACTTTGGGAATGAATGGAGGATGAACAGTGGAAGAAGGAAGGCAGATGGGATGCTGGGTTACTGTCTTTCAACTAGTAAACAAGCCAGGATGACCACATTCTGAAACTAAAAAGTGCCTCAAAGAGACAGAGACTTAGAGAACAAATGTGTGGAAACCAAGGTGGGAGGGAGGGGATGGGATGAATTGGGAGATAGGGTTGACATGTGTACGCTACTATGTATGAAGTAGATGGCTGGTGAGGGCCTGCTGTATATGATTCCACTTCTATGAGATCCCTAGAGTAGTCGAATTCATAGAATTCCAAAGTACTTTGGTAGCTGCCAAGGGTTGGGGAGTAGCGGGTAGTAGGGTGGGGAAAGGGCATGGGGAGTTTTTAATGGGAACACAGTCTGGTTGAGGAAGGTGAAAAGTTTGAGAGATGGATGGTGGTGAGAGGTGCATAACGATGTGAATGTACTTACTGCCTCTGCACTGCACAGTGAAATATGGTTAAAATAATTTTTAAAAAGTACAGAGAAAATTATGTTTCAGTGAAAAGGGGAATACATGAGTAGAATATTTAGCTACATGAATGATTTTTAAAATATGAGAATTCTAATAGAGATGAAGCATCATGAGAAACTTTTGGACCACATAGGACTGACGAATTGTGACTTCATCCGTAAACACCAGAATAAACAACCACCACCATCACAAACACTATCATTCTTTAAAAATAACACCATTTCAAAGACACTGCACTGTTCCACCTCAACGTTGTCGGTTAGAGGGTGAGACCCGCCTATCAGTAGGACAGCAAGGATGGAAGGGACATGGAAGGGACATAGAAGTTCTGGAGAACACGGGTCAGCCCATCTTCAGGCAGCCAGGCAAGACTACCACTTAAGCTGGCTGCTGGGTATCACTATTTCCTTGTCATCTGTGCGATGAACTAAGATCAAAGCACATTTGTGGGGAGTTATGCAAACATTTCCAAAAAGAGAAAAAGTTTGCTCATTAATACAATGTAATGGAAAAATTAAACAAACAAAAATTTCAGTGAACACAGTGTCCTTACACACACACAAAACGCATCCACAGACATCCTTGTATATATACAACTAAAATGAAGACTTCATAAGGCAATCTTTGCCCTCAATGCAGGTCATGTATTCTGAAACTATCTACTTCCTTCTATTCTGGTTTGCTTTTCATTAAATATGTTTTTTGCAGTCAGTGGTAAACTAGAACCTCTCATGTCCATGTGCAGAAGTAGGTTAACTTTTGAGGAATTTTAGAACCTGTTGACATTACATTCATAGCTTGAAATCAGCTCAATGGGAAAAAAAAAATCAGATTCTACAAATCTGGGCTTTTTTCTTTCTTTTCAGAGCCAGATGTTAAACATTTTCTAGCACACCACTGGTTGTAGACTTCTAAGTGGATTTTACAAATTACTAATGGGTCACAACTTATAGTTTAAAAGTCATTGAATAGCAAATGCTGTATAAAGTTTCTTGTACCCAGTTTTTTGTACCCACCACCATAAATAGAAGCTTTCTTCTTTGCTTCCTCCTCCTGCTACTCTATTATTTAAAGATATATGTACACATATTAAGCAAAAAGGAGTGATTGAGTCAAAACACAACTTTTTTTGGTATGTACTTCACATTTATTAAAAACCAGAACACCAAATAGCCATACAAAGTGTGAATGAGCCTGAGAAAGAAAGGAAGGTGCTGGCTGGAATTCTCTGGCTAGTAAAATAGAAAAATAGAAAATAAAAAAAAAAAGAAAAAACACCAACTGCATGATTAAGATGATACTTGGATGGAAATGTGGATGGAATCTGGGACCTCAGTTACACCATGTCCATTTCTTGTTTTATTAAAAAAAAAGTTCAATCTCACAACTGTAAAATCTAGTAAAGGCTTACATTTCAGCTATCAAATGACTGATTCTTGACAGCATATGGCTTCTTGAAATTGTTATTTCCAAATTTACTTACCTATAATTTTTAGTGGTCAGTGTTTCAAAATACCTCTGATCAGACTCTGAGGAAGAAAATGTAAATGAAATATCACACAAGCTGTGTGTGATGGTGAGGATGGGGAGAGCAATACTCTAGCTCAGCTTGTGTTCTGCTCCCTTCCAAATGGTACAAAACTTTGTGTGTGTTCTCTTCTTCCCCTTTCTGGCTTTTCCTACCTTCTCTTCACCTTTCTGAGTTTCTTTCTTCTCTACCTATAAGCAGTAAGAACTGTTCTGAAAAGACAGGATTTGAGGTTCAAAGAAAAAGTTCTTTTTTCCTCTCAAGTTTTAGAAACTAAAAACTTTCCATGGTAGCCAAAGTCACACACACATGCACACAGAGTTTAAGTAACTTCATTCTTCTAAATTCCAGTCCTTTGCTTCTATCCACTCACACAGAATAAGTCTAATCAGTTTCTTTTTCTGTAAACAAATTAGCATTATGAAAATGTGAGCTGAAAATTTTACCCAGGAAAATGTACTTCAGGGCTCTGCGAAACCAGGGATAGAAGAAACCATATATTAAGGGATTACATGTGGAGTTAAAATAGCCAAACCATGTCAAAGCATCAAACAAAACTATAGGAGTAGAGAAGTTCAGAAAGGGATCCAATAAAATCGTGAAAAAACAGGGAAACCAACATAATAAAAAAACACCCATTACTATCCCTAAAGTCTTGGCTGCTTTCTTGTCTTTCCTCATTTGATTATTTTGATTTTCTGGTAAGTTATTTATCGCACGAGCATGCTTTCTGGATACTGCAAAAATTTTGCCGTAAATCCCGACCATCACAGACCCAGGAGTGAAGAAACCTGCCATAAACAAGGTGGTCCCCCATAGCTTGTTGAACATCACTGGGCAGGAGCTAGAGCAAGCAACCAGGATATCATAGCCTTCTATTCCATCCGCGTAGGCCTCAGAGAAGACCACTCCGAAGGCAAATGTCCCGGGGACTGACCAGCAGAGAACCAGCAACTGTTTAATGACTGGAATCGTCATTTTGGTTGAATACTGTAAAGGGTAACAGATAGCATAAAATCTATCAATGGCCACTGAGCAAAGATGGAAAATGGATGTTATGCTGAGCATCAGATCAAAGCTATAATGAATCTTGCAAAACGTCAGCCCAAAATACCAGCAGTTCTCCACTGATCTTATCATACTGTATGGCATGATGGTGAATCCCAGCAGGAAATCAGTGACCGCCATGGAGAGGATGAGGAAGTTGGTTGGTGTGTGAAGCTGCTTGAAGTAGGAAATGGAAAGGATCATGGCAAGATTGCCAAACACAGTGATGAATATGGCTCCAGCCATAAAGGAATACATGGCAGCTCGGACGCCTATCGGCCTTTCGTTTTCTGGGCAAGACCCACTTCCATATTCAGAGCAATTCAGTAGTTTCTTAGGGAAAAGCAAGAACACATGGGATTGTGTCAGTTACTAGATAATACATCATGTTTTTTATATACTTTCATAGAAAAATTCAAAAAAGACTTAAAGAAGATCATTTATGATGAATTATTATAATTTTTCTTATCTTAATCTGTTTTTTATCTTAACCTGTAAATTTGCAATTCATAGAATTCTAGCTTAATGAATTTAAGTGATCATCATTTACTTTACTCTTGCCTTTATTCAAATTAAGGCTTCCCTGATAGCTCAGTTGGTAAAGAATCCACCTGCAATGCAGGAGACCCTGATTCGATTCCTGGGTCGGGAAGATCTGCTGGAGAAGGGAAAGGCTACCCGCTCTGACTTGGAACGTTCTGACCTGGAGAATTCCATAGACTGTATAATCCACGGGGTGGCAAAGAGGCGGACATGACTGAGCGATTTTCACTTTTCACTTATTCAAATTATACCACTGACATTCAGTAAGCTCTTAACTTAGGCCAGGGCCTGAAATCAGAAGGAGGAGGAGGAGGGGAGTCAGGAAAAGGTTGAGGAGAGAAAGAAAAGAGGAGGGGGTAGATGGAAAAAAGGAGAAGAAGAAAAGTTTATTATTGAACTTAATATAATTGTTCTTCCCTGTGTACATAGGAAGAATAGACACTGATACTTATTAGACAATACATTCACTTCTTCCTCAAATGAGTCAGGAACATGTAACCAGACTTTGTTTGATTGGAATCTATTGGCTTATGGGACCAGGAGTTTACTAAGGGAAAAACAGATTTCTGCATATGTTCTATCACTCACTGTGCTTCTATTTCTTTCATGCTAAGCTCATTTGAAAGAGGAAGAATCACTTAAGGAAGTCTAAGGGTCTGGAAGAATCATCCTCTTCAGCTAGTCATGGAACTTTGATAAGCATCTCACCCTCAGAGCAGCTAAATCAGAGGAAGGCAAAGGCCAAAGTTGACCACCCCCACTTCTTTGTGAAGAGTAAGGGCTCCGCTGTAGTATGTCTCCTCAAGCCCCGTGCAATGATAGCAGCCTGGCGAGTTTCAGCGTGTGGGTCACACAGAGAGCGAGGAGCTGGCCATTAGCGAGTTTTAGGAAAGAAAGCCAGTTCTAAGCTGCACATGCTCTCCATGCAAGGACCCAGCATCTTTACTTTGCATATAAACATCTGCATGTTACCATTTACACGTATACTTGGGATGGAACATGATTATGAATTAAAATAACTTTTTTCTTTTTCTAATATATACTATTTATTTATTTTGCTTTGCTGGATCTTAGTTGCAGTGTGGAATCTAGTTCCCCATCAGGGATCCAGCCTGGTCCCCCTGCATGTGGATTCTCAGGCATAGAACCACCAGAGAAGTCTTAGGATAACTTTCTTCTTTAAATGTACATTAGGGGGGAAAAAAAAACACTATCTAAATACAAATACATGCCCACAATCCATGAGACACAATGAAAGGAACAAGAAAGCATGAACTAATCCCTGGCAGTAGACAGTCTATCAAAACACATCAATCTTAAAACCCAAATTATTTTGGACCACAGATTAAAAGCAAATGTGGTGATGAGCTGACCAAAGAAAAGTCTAGGCAATATGTGCATTCAAAGATCAAAAGTGGGCAAAAGGCTTTCAGGCTGGGTCAATAAGAATGTCCCAGTGAGGATAGGACTTTTACCTGGTTCTCACTGGGTGTGTAAGATTTGAACAGAAAAACAAAAACTCTATTTTAAGCGGGAAGGGTGAAGAAATGGCATAAGGTTATCCAGAGACCTTTGAAAGTCATTCTCAGGGTCTCTGAAATACGACAGAGAAAACTGGGTGTGGAGGAGAGGATGGAACGGGAGAAGGGAGGATTTCTAGTGTCAAGTTCCCTCAAGCCACTGTTTTTAGTCTGCATTCAGTCAAGGAGCTTTCCCACTTTGTTCTCATATTTAGGCAGTTATGTCTGAACTGTCTTCTACTCAAGTGTTAAAAGTGATTGCTGCATTCCCTAAGAAAGTGATTAAACTGTAGGAGCAGACCATAATAATAAAGAATTTTCTGATTATTCTAATCTGATCTCATTTCTTTTTATCTTGTCATTAAATTTTTGTGCTTCCATTTTAAATATTCCAATGCTTTAGAACCCACTCTTTAAGGGTTTTAAGAGACTTTTAAAAGTACTTTGTTCTGATAATCATTCTTTCTACTTTTGTTGAATTATTCTGACTTTACCCAAGCAATTGTTTCAATTGCTTAATTTCTATCAGAAACTCATGTTAATGAATCTTAACATAGTAAATAATACATGTGAACAGTCTTAGCACAATGCCTGATGTATAAAGAACACTATCAAAGATGACTGCCTTCTTGTTATTCTTCCTTTCCTTCCTTCCCTCTTTCCTGGTTGAGATGAACACCACATTCAACATTCAAGGATACATTTCACCAGAAAAGATGTCTCCTAAGAAAGCAAAGGAATGGGACTGAATGTAAAAACCCAGGTAACTGTCTTAACCCTCTGCCTCACACAGGTGAACACTTGTGGTAAATGATTTGCTCAGCAGCTTATAAACACATAACCCTTTCCATAATTCTAAATCTTCTTCCTAGGAAACACGCTGCACTGCCAAAAGGCAGCACATTTTCCTGGTAGCATAGTTGAAAACCTCTGCCTTTTATTACAAATTTATATAAAGTCCTGCATCTATAATCTTCTGCATTTCTACATGCCTCTTTGTACTGGACCAAAAAAAAAAAAAAAAAAAAATCAATCTGCCAGCAATACCACTGTATTATTAGAGTGACAGTTTGCTTCTTGAGAAAACCCAAGGAAAAGAAAGTGCAGATCCGTCCTTCTCAATGTCTTCTCCACATACCTGTTGTACTGCAGAAGATGACATTGCTAATTAAACTCCTTACTAGAGAAACTGTATTTCTTTGTTTCTTTTCCATCTAAGTGAATGCTTTTATGGAACTGAACAAGCTGAACTATGTACGTTGCACTGTTCTGCAACTTAACAATTAGTCTCAAGGGAATTGGGTCTGAAAATTAAAAAAAAAAAAAGCAAAGCAAAACCTTGCCTTTCTAAAGTTTAACAGCTAAATAAGCCTAAACCATTCCTCCATCCTCCCAGGACTCTGCTTTCTGAAGTTTTCATCACCTCCAGCCCTGGCAGCTCTAGATCCACTATTATATGACAAATGCAAAGTAACTCTAAACCTTCCAGTTATGGGTGACCCTAAGGAACCTGATTCAATTACACATGAATGAGATTGGCAGTTGGAGTAGAAGGATGATTATATGTCCTCCATCTCTTTAGGAAAATCTAACTGTCACAGTCCATGCATCGTCACGTTTCAGTCACTAAGAAGGGCTCTTACCACCTAACATTTTTGTCTTTTTCCTTTGTTCAAAGGTGACTAAAAGAGCAAGTCTCATCAACCCTCTTAGATCTGGAGGAATGGAGCGTCATTATTATCTCTTTAAGGAACTCAAGTAATGATGCCAACATCTCAGATGTTACCGATTTAAATCTGTTCACATGTTGAAGGACCTACCTTTTCATTTTATCCTTTTAAAATGTGAAAGCTCCTTTTGCACTGTTGGGGACAACGTTGGGAGGCAACACACTCTAGATGTAGAGGAACTATCATACTGGTCACTAAAAAGCATCGGGGTCTGTCAACAAGGACCTATTGTCCTTGTTGGAACTCTGCTCAATGTTATGTGGCAGCCTGGATAGGAGGGGAGTTTGGGGGAGAATGGGTACATATATTAATGTATGTATGGCTGAGTCCCTTCACTGCTCACCTGTAACTATCGTGATATTGTTAACTGGCTATACCTTAATACAAAAGAAAAACTTCAAAAGAAGACAGAAAAAAATCAGGGTCTGCTTGCCTGATTTAAAATTACAGCTATTCTGTGATTTGTCAGCTTGGCGTAGGCTGTTGCTTGGATATGCCACTTGTGCAGTCACATGGGGTCACATGAAGTCCTGAGTTTCAAAGTGTCCACACTTGGTTCAATGGCTCCACTAATGCCCTCTTGAAATGCTTAATACATTTTAGGAAAGAAACTGCAGGGCTTCCCTGGTGGTCCAGTGGGTCAAGAATCTGCTTGCCAATGCAGTATTCTTGCCTGGAGAATCCCATGGACAGAGGAGCCTGGCAGGCTATGATCCATCGAATTGCAGAGTCGGACATGACTGAAGAGACAGCATAGCACAGTGCAGGGAGATGGGTTCGATCCCAGGTCCGGGAAGATTCCACATGTCATGCGGCACCTACGTCCGTGCAGCGCAGCTGCTGAGCGCGCGCTCCAGAGCCTACGTGCCACAATGACTGAGCCCTCATTCTGCACCCACAGAGCCCACACATCCGGAGCACATGCTCCACAAGAGAAGCCACTGCAATGAGAGGCCTGCACATCACAACTAGAGAGTAGGCCTCCCTCCCTGAAAGGAGAGAAAGCCCATGTGCAGCATCAAAGAGCCAGCACAACCAAAAATAAAGGAACAAATTAAAAAAAAAAAAAAAAAAACCCTGCATTTTCAGTTTGTTGTGGGTTCCCTAAATTACATAGCTGGTCCTGCTTAATCTCTCTTGGGAGCTCTTCTTGAAGAAGAGAAATAAGAAAAAAATAAAAATCTCTTATTTCAGAATAATAAATTCAGAATATGAATTTATATTCATATTTATGATAGTTGAGAAAATGTATATGAAGGTATTTTTTAAAGAAACTTTACAATTAGCACAGTTGCTTGCCAAGAAGGTAGGACTTATTTTAAAAGCAGAAGGCATTACTACTCCAAGGTTGCCAGCAACTACTCTGTCTTCTGGGGGAAGACAGTAAGTCATTTTAGATAAATCTTCCTGGTTCTGTAAAGAATTAGTTAAGCATTCTCTTTTAATTATGTAGATGGGAGACATTTAGCAGAGGTAGGTTAGGATGTAAACTGTTGCTTTTAAAGAGCTAAGGAGCCAAAGGAATGAGTTTTGTCCTCCTCCTTTCTAAGGTTCACTGCGATAGAATATATCTAATAAACTAAAATATATCATCTTGATACACACTAGCTTAATAACCGAGCCTCATGTCCCAGCTGGCAAGAAAGAACTCTAGGACGTTCCTGAGCAGGACGGACCGTGACGCAGGGCAGATAGACAATCGACCCTTGAAAACTCCTCTGAACCACCCTCTTTAATCCCAATGAAAAGATTTGAAAGTAAGAGAACTCTTCGGTGAACGTAAGTGCAGCGAGCGTCAGCTCAGGCCTCTCCCTTCTAAGCCCCTGGAATTGAGAGGGTCCCCTCTCGGCCCCGTTATCACATCACTGCAGACGGAGTACCACCAGACCGAGGGGGCGGGGCGCTCCCTGGCGATACTTTCAACAGTGCCACCTTGTGGCAACTTGGGAGAACTGAGCCTTCGGATTCAGTCCTTTGAGAACGCATCAAAAGATCAGAAAGGATATAAGAAAGGTGGTTAATTTAAGTAAAACAAAGAGATATGATCTTGTTTTGTACCTCAAGCTGGAGAAAATGGATGTATCACTCATATAACTGTCCACATTTTTAATGAAACTCTGACGTGCAGAATTAATTACAATGAATCAGGCCATGGGGCTTCCCAGGTGGTGCTAATGGTAAAAAACTCCGCAGTGCAGGTTAGGCATAAGAGACACCGGTTTGATTCCTGGGTCCCGAAGAACCCCTGGAGAAGGGAACGGCTACCCTCTCCAGTGTTCTTGCCTGGAGAATCCCATGGACAGAGGAGCCTGGCGGGCTACAGTCCATGGGGTGGCACAGAGTCGGACACGGCTAAAGGAACTTAAGCACGACCCGGTCACAACCATGCCATACGTCTTGCTTTATTGCTTCGTTTGTAACATAATGAGCACCCATGACTGTGAACTAACCTGACAATAGTGTCCTTATTTCTGTATTCTGCTATCACCTCAGATAATTGCTACACTGAATTTTGTGTTTATCAGTTTTTGTATTCTTTTAATAGATTTATCATGTTATGGTTCATGATTAAATCAAAGGATTGATGAGTGTCTTTTTCAAATTTCATATAAAATGGGTATCATGCAATTTGTCTTTTAGAATTAGTTTTGCTCTTACTCACTTAATTTTATACTATGTTTAACTGTAGTTCATTCATTCTTATTGCTATGTAATTAATAATCTCTTCTATCAAAAGATATTTGAATTATTTCTAGTTCTTTTGCTATTATGAATGGTGCTATTTTCAATATTCTTGTGTAAGTTTCTTGATACTAATAGTCAAAAGATTTTCTTGTAAATATACATGAGAAAGTAATTACGGAGTAAAAGAATGTGAATATTCAGTTTCACATCACTAAACAAATTTTATTCCAAAGTGGCTGTACTATTCTACATTCTCACAATCAATATGTAGAAATTCTATTAACTTATAATACAGGCAACACATGATATTAACACAGTTAAATGTTTAACAATTTAATGAGTGAAGAGTTGTGTTTTATTGTAGACTTGATTTGCATTTTCCTGATTTCCAATGAGGGACAGCATTTATTTGTGTGTTTATTGTTGTTTCCCTTCTGTGAAATCCTATCATTTCTTTTTATTTACATTTTCCTTTTCTTCTTGATTTATACAAGCTATTTTTATATCCTTAATAATAACCTTTTATCAGTTATTATATATGTACCAAATATATTCTCCCCATGGATAAGTTGCCCTTTCCTTTCAGGTAGGTTTTTGATAAATGAAAGTTCTTTCTTATAGCTAAATTTATCAATCATTTATTTTTTGTAATTTTATTTTAAAAAAATCCTTCCCTAGTTCCAAGTGAGAAAAATTGCTGTCTAAATTTTCTAGTGAAAATTTAAACATTTTGCCTTTAATATTTGTTTTTTAATTTATCTGTAATTGTGTATGATGTGAAGTAAGAAATAACATTTTTTTTCACATAAACCAACTTTTTCCAGCTCCAATTATTGGGTAGAATTTCCTTTCCCCAATGCAGATGTCATGTATCAAAGTCCACACATAACTCTGAGCTCTGCATACAAATCCATCCACTCACTCATTTAATGCTGCACAAATACCACATTGGCCTAGTTACCATGGCTTGTAATGACTCTTGATATTTAATAGAGTAAGTCCTTCCCCACCTCCTCCTTCTTCCTTCCTTCAAAGATGTTAATTATCTTTCCAAGATCCATAAAAATTATGTTGGATTTTGAGGGAATAACATTAATATCACCTCACTATTATATCTCATTCACGAGCATGGGCTAAATCCACATTTATTTGGTCTTCTGTAATGCTCTATTAAGTAAACTTTCTTAATAGTCTACAAATGTGTCTTGCACACCTTCTGATAATTTCATTCCTGAGTAACTCAATTTTAAATTGGTGTATTTTTAAACCCATAGTTTCATTGTTGCTTATTACTGGTGTACACATTCAACTGAATTTTGTATTCAGGCAACTTGCTCAATTTTCATATTATTTGAAAAATTTCTCTGCAGACTCTTGGATTTTCTATGTGGTTAATAATACTACCTGCAAATTATTACGGTTCTATTTCCTCCTCTAATCATTGAGGCCTTCAATTTCTGGTTCTTAATATACTGTACTAAGATCTTTAGGACAATGTTGATTGAGGCATTGTTATAAAATGATTAAGCTACTTTTAAAATGAAACAGTTGCTTCTTATGACATTTAAAAAGTCTATTAGGCAATGTATGGCAAAAACCACTACAATATTGTAAAGTAATTAGCCCCCAACTAATAAAAAATAAAGGAAAAAAAAAAGCCTCTATTAGGGACTTCCTTGGAAGTCCAGCGGTTAAGACTCCATGCTTCTATTACAGGGTGCTCGGGTTTGATTCATGATAGGGGAACTAAGATCCTACCTGCCTAAAGAAGGTAAACTTCCAAACTCATTCTATGAGGCCACCATCACCCTAATTCCAAAACCAGACAAAGATGCCACAAAAAAAGAAAACTAAGGCCAATAATCACTGATGAACATAGATGCAAAAATCCTTAACAAAATTCTAGCAAACAGAATCCAACAACATATTAAAAAAATCATACACCATGACCAAGTGGGCTTTATCCCAGGAATGCAAGGATTCTTTAATATCCGCAAATCAATCAATGTAATACACCACATTAACAAATTGAAAGATAA